GGGGGGGGGGCACAAGACCGCGGCTGTTAGGGCGGCAGGGCGAAGCCCCTGGAAAGCAACGAGTGCACACCTAGGGAAGCAAACACCTGGCCTGTAAATAAGGAAACACATACTTAACTGGGGCTAATAAAAGTGACCGAAAAATTACGTTATTTTCCAACTTTCCGAGGTAGCGTTTAGGTTGAAAGGTAATTGAGGAAAAGTGCCAAAGCTATCATTTCTCTCAGTTCTCCTGAAAGACACCCGTGGGGTTTTACGCAAGATGGAGATTATGGGTTTAATTATGGCCACCGTGTGGCTCTTTCTCTGTAACGTCTAAACAAAAAAAAACCACGATGAAGACCTATAGGGAAAACAAGATTGAAAAATATGTATGCTGCGTGCGTGTGGGTGATACCTGGACACTGTGTACTCCACAACTCGAAGAATGTGGTCATGCGGCCCGATCGCCCAGCGCTCCTGGTTGGTGGTGTAAGACACATAGAGCTTTCCGTTTTTCTTGTAATTGGGGTGGAATGCAAGGCTTAGCAGACCTCTTTCATCTCCTCCCTGCAGTCAAATGAAAAACACAAAGAATCGCAAAGTTAATTATGTTCTTTATTGTGTTTCAACTGGAACCCCCAAAAGAGTCTCTTTCTTCCTTCTGGATAATCTTTGCCCAAGCTCTTTTCTTTCCTTCCTTGCCTACTGCACAAAAAGGGATTATAAAACATTTCACTTTGCGGAAACTCTTTAAGGGTTAGAACAAGCCAATTGTCTCGCGTGGTTATCTATGCACAAGACCCTTACACTACTTTTGTCGAGTGATTTGTGTCCATAATCTTTGGGAAGCGAGGAAGACAAGTTTAAGAGCTGGGAGAATTCTCTGCCGGGTTACTAGGTTGCTTGTTGTCCATGGAAGACAAATAAAAAAGGCTCATAATCAGCAGTCACTTCTAATCCAAGTCTCCCAAACCTAAAACACAGTGTGGGCTGCCAACTCCCACTGTCTTGGCAATATGTTTAGAAAACAGTGAAATTGCTTGTGTAATATGTAAACCTTTGTTTTACCCCGGAGGCATCTGCATCAGTTGTCACAACGATGGTGGTCTGTTCATCATCGCTAGGTAATAAGCAGCCTCGGTCTATCTACACAGAAATGAGGTATTTTTACATGTATCCCCTTCACTGCTCAGAGTTTTTCTTTATAGAAGGATGGGGAAATGGGAGGTGAGCTAAAAGCCAGGGCTGGGATGGGGGTGGGAGAAATCCTAGAGAGGAAAGGGGACACTAGGAAATAAAAATCCCAAACAACTTTCTTTTGTTATTATATGAATGTCAAGGACTGTGTACATTAGGCATGCCAAATGCTGTAACAATTAAAACATCATCATGTTCTTAAATAGAAAGGCATTTTATCTTTATTTTCTGCTAATTCAGCTTGAAACTCAATATGGTCTTAGCATTTGTTTTATCCCACAAGTAGTCTAGGAATTTCTTTAATGAAATCAAAGTATCTAAAATTATCTCCATCAGAGATGCAAGTTTACCATCTAGTAAATCAGCATTTCCTCTATAGTTTGGTGAGTTATCCACAGAGGTGATAAAGTGACATAGAAATTGAATGCCGCTAGTACATCACTTTATACACACTATTTCATGAAAAACACTTTTTTCTCCTATGGCAAAAAGCTATAAATTACTCCTTAGAAGTGTTAGAGGGGGGGAATAATCTCTACTACGACAATTTCTTCACAGCATTATGCTCAATAATGGAGGCACTCTTGTGCTTTTTGTCCCCAGAATAGCACTTGTTGCTAGCAAAGCATAAAACTGTATGTAGTTTGTATTCTACACTGATTTGAGAATTTTAAGTTTTACGCATAAAAGCTCAGTTTTAGTAAACATTGTTGATTGGTTTCCTGGATTAGAGAAAAAAGTGCTTTCAGATACGCGCCATCCGAAGTGGAAACATCCAAACTTTAAAATTGGCTAGCAGATCAGCTCGCCAGGATCAAATAAGAAAGTCGACAAAAATATTCCAGAACTGCCAAATCATTGTCCAAATGTTAAAAAAGTCAGCCTCTTCATTTGCATAGTGCAATATGCTTAATATTAACTTTAATTAAAAGGACAATCTCATTGAAGGGTTAAGGCTCTAATGACTATGATTATTGTATTAGCCTCGATTTTTCCAATTATCTTGTTATGATGACTTTAATATGGACTTGATGTTGCTATTTTTCTATTTATATCTTCATTAAGCAAATATCTCTGGCCTTTCTTATGAGACTTTGAAAGCTGGGATGTGTAAGTAAGATTCGGTTATAGAAAAGCCACCGCACACTTAAACCTCCTTGAGGGACGTATAAGGAGGCCTGGGGGTGGGATTTAGTTTGTGGTTATTTCCCCTTCTGCTTCGATTTCCCTGTGAAGCAGTGAGTGCAGGGAAAGGACTGTGTGCCTGCTTCATGAATGTTTGTGCTCCACTCCAAGAAGCTTTTGTTGAAAGTAGTTCTTTTGTAGTCTTTCATCAAATCATCTGAGATACAATTGGAGTTGGATAGCAACATGGTTTAAAACTGTGCTGATTGCTTTTCAGGAATTAGGGATGTAGAATTCATGTACTGTGGGAAGCCTGATGGGAAAAGAGATTTACACAAATCACAAGTGTCACCTGTCATGTGAATGAATTTGGGGACACTATTGACATTATGAAAGTGCCAAATATGGAAACAGAATGAGACATCTGAATGACAAGAAAATAAATCAGAAATGCAATTAAAAAATTTTCAGGTTATAAGATTTACATTTGTTTAAGCATTACATATGATTTCATATTTTTTACATGTAGGTGTATACATGCCTATCGCATATACATACATATGTATATCCCTCTCTCTCTCCCTCCCTCTCTTCCTTCCTTTCTTTCACATCTTTTAACCATTAACTATGATTTCATAGTTTTTAAGCAATGTCCGGGTACAAAGTAGTGTTCTGGTTTAGAAACATGACCAATAACTCTTATGTCAGAGAATTACTCGCTTTCATAACTATATTGATGAAACATTTAATGTATAATGTAAATATCCTAGAGCGTCTCTTGAAATTTGCTTTTCAAATGATATAGTATGACATGACTCCTAAATGTTCAGAAATCGGAAAGGAGGGATACACTACTGGCAGGAGATGAAAGTATTGATAGGCTCACACTGAACTTGGATAAGCCTCCACAGTTAGGTGATCTATTCAAAGTACGTTCCCAGCAAATCACTATGTACCTCTCAAATACAAACCCATCTTTGAGGTCTGGGTCATTTTTCAAGCTCTCTATGGAGAAGTATGTTGACTGGGCATTGAAGGTTTAACTTTGGACCAGGATCTGAGGCCTCCAGAGCTCTGTGGCTGCTGCAACTGTAGCCTTCACACCAGGACACTGCCCCAGCCTGAGAGCCCGGGCGTTGGCCCCCCGAGGCAGGCCTGGCTAGCAGACCAGCTCTCCAGGATCTCAGAAAGCCCTTGTGCCAATGTTACTGACTCTCTTCTAACTCCTTCCCATCCTTTCACTCATTATGTGGAATTCTATGGAATTAGAATCATGCACTCCTTCCAGAAATGTCAAATTACAGAACTGTTTCTAGCATGAGGAGAATGAACCTCTGGGATTAGTTCAGCCGAGCTGCTAAACGGGGAAAACGCACCAAGAGAATGGCAAATGGAAGATACCTCTCAAAAAGACACTGATTTCTAACATTATACTTTTGAAAACTGTTGACTGATGTCCAAAATGTTTATCCTTACCAGTGTGAACAGCAGCCATTTGTCCAAATATGAACGTTATACTTGGACTTCGTTAATACGGAATGCTCTGGGTGCGCCTTGTGCTTCTAGGAGTGCAATCACTGCTAGAATCAAAGGGGCAGCAAGTAATTTACACATTTGGGTTGCCTCACCCGAGCATCCTAAGCTACCGTGAGACCCCCATTCCTTTTCGCTCAGCCCTCCTATCACTGCATCTACTTCCAGACAGTCCCACCCCAAGCACGAATGACTCCTCAAAATCAGGTGGTTGAATCATTTGAAAATAATGTCCCTATACACTCTGGAACTTTGAAATTGACCCATGTTTCAGAGTAAATCATAACCACCCCCTACCGCCACCCCTAGGAACTCTAAATAAGTAGTTAACTGCCATTCAATTATCATCCAGCTCTCAGGAGAAATTTCACAGGGTCAACAGGAAAGAGGTGTCCTCCCCCTCAACCAAGAGTACTGATGACTGTAATGTAAGTACGAGATCAGATCTAGCCTTACAGTTTGGGGGTGTATACTCTTCCCTGGTGAACAGATGAAAGCTCTAACCAACTGACTGAGACCGTTCCTGGTCTTTGAAGAAAAAACAAAGTATGTAGTATTTGAAAAAGAGAAGTGATCACAAAATGATTATACCAGAAAGTATTTTTTTCTTTTTTAAGAGAAACTGCGGGGCGTGGGCATTCACTGTGATATTGTTTTGAAGAAGACATTCCCTTCATACTTTCAGAGGGGTTAAAGCTAATTTTTTCTGATTGCTGGCCTCTTTAAAATGTGCCTTAATCTCTTTCAAGGAATGTGTATTTTAGGAAACAGGACTGGGCAGCACTGAACCGGAAGCAGCGTTGTCCATTTTTTGCATAGTTTTTCTTAATGACCTTTTGGCAAGTGACTGGCTTCAAGTTCAGCAGTCTACAAAGCAGCCCTATGGCATTGAGAAATCAATGAAACGTCTGTGAAAGTAAACAGTGCAGTGTTAGGTTCAAGATATTCCTTGTTACTGCCTTGTTGGGAAAAAAGTTGGTATTTCGCATTCATCCACCAAATATTTAGCGAGCACCTTACTGTGTGTTAGGCACTGTGCTTGGTGCTAGAGCTAAGACAGTCATTAAACACCAACCCCTGCCCTTAAGGAGCTTATGTCTGGAGGCGGATACAAAAGTATGGTTCTCAGCTGTTTTATTCCCACCACGCTTTCTTATGATGCTGATTTTGAGGGAAGGTTAAGCAATGCTACACTGTTAGAAATGTGCATGGCCCAAAGACAAGTATTAAAGAGAATAAATAATAATTCGGGCAACGCTGACACGCAGGCTGATTTGTATATTAACACCTGAGGTTTCTGCACGCAAAATTTGGTAAGGAAAGAAAAAAGCTTGGTTGGGTGAAAGCTAAATTACATCAAGAATTAGGCAGTTTCTGCAAAAAGTAAGACCATCTTCTAATTTATTTTATGCACATGACATGGGCACGAAGTTACGAATGACCTCCAGTAGAACTGTATTGTTGTCCCCTTAATAATGAAGGAGCTTCTAAGAATTACCATAAGAACAGAGTGGTGGTCATTTTAATTCTCTATAAAATATATACTTGCATGATAAGGCAAGTCATCACATTCCCTTTATTAACGGTCGTTCCCATGCCTACGTTTCGCTGGCACGCCCCAGGAAGGGGGCACGGCGAGGACTTGGAGATTAACATGGGCCCCTCTTCGTGCAAACCTTTGCTTCCCTTAGACTAGAGCTGTTTGCTGTTCAGAAATGTAAAATAGGTGTGTTTCAGAATTGTTAGTTCAAGCACAATATCAGACTGTATTCATTTTTCTATTGCTGCTGTAAAAAAATTGCCACAAACTTAGCAGCTTGACACCATGCAAATCTATTAACCTGAATCTGTAGGTGAGAGTCCAACATGGGTCTCGCTGGGCTGCCATGAATGTGCCGGCAGGGCTGTGCTCCTTTCTGAAGGCTCTGGAAGATAACCCATTTCCTTTCCTTTCCCAGCTTCTAGAAGCCATCTGCGTTTCTTTTCCTTGTTTTCAGAGCCAGCAGCTGTGGGCCGAGCGAGTCCTCGCACAGCGCATCCCGGGCCTCCGGCCTCCCTTCCCTCCCGCCCACGCTTCAGAATCTGTGATGACAGAGCTCCCCCAGGTCACCCAGGGTAGTCCCCCTCTGCCGTCTCTAGCGATCTTAGCTCAAGGCAACCTTATTTCCCCTTCGCCATGCGTGGGAGGTGACATAACATAGTCACAGGTCCTGGAGATTAAGATGCGGACAGCTTCGGAGGAGGGCATTCTTCTGCCCGCCACTTGGATATATGAATCTGTGTTTTCAAAAGGACCTATTTATGGCTGACTTGAGCCATCTTGGCCATGCCCAAAAGTGAGCACCCCGAAAAAGCTGACTGGTGAAGGTCACCTGTAAGTTTATGAGGAGATACATGAAGAAAGCTCGGGCATTGTAAGCACTCACTTCAGAAGGAAGGGAAAGCACCTTTCAGAACCAAGGAGGAGGAGCCCATCTGGTAACGTGGGCATGGGACACTTTCATGGATGAGCTCTGTCAACAGCCAAACTCTTGTGTTAATCACAGGATGCAGACAAGATCAAGTTAAATGTCACTTCTACTAACTGGCGGATTTAAGCTCACTGAAACTGTATTATTTTGCTTTGTTCCTAAGTTTTGAAACAGTGTAGAGTATTAATTTCTTCACAATTCCTGGAAAAGATGAGAAGAGTTGCTTTTCACTGGTTCCAAAGTCTAATTTGATCTCAGAAGAGGAGTCAATCCCCTGAGGATCCCCAGTTAGCTTGGGGAGATGTTGCATGATTTGTCTCTGTGATAGAATGAAAAATATAGTTGGTCTTTATCCCCAGTTCCTGGCACAGAGCTTCTAAAACCATTAGGATTTCCTGAATGATGGCACTGTCTTTCGTTATTCATAATGACCCCAGTCAGCCTTACTGAGTTCATGCTAATGAGGTGACACTAGGGTCCCTGGAAATCTTCAGGATGGGGGCTGGTAGCCAGAGGAACAACAACAACAACAAAATGTGATTACAAGGTTGGAACTTCCAGCCGCACCTCCACCCCCAGCCTGCTGGTGGGGTAAGGACTGGAGGCTGAGCTCAAGCACCAATGGCCAGTGATTTAATCAAGAACACCTACAAGGTGAAACCCCCATAAACCCCTCAACTGTGCGGCATGGAGAGCTTCTGGGCTGGTCAGCACACAGGTGCTGGGGGGGCCCCCCTGAGAGGGCGCGGAAGCTCTTCTCCACCGCCC